CTGACTTAAAACAGCTTGCATAACTTATAAAATTAAGTTAGAACATGATTCAATTAGAATATTAGGTTACAATGACCTAAAAACACGCTGTCACGACTAATTGATGATATCATTTTTTACTGTGTGGGGAATGAATAAATTCGGGCTTGACTATAGATAGATTTTTAAACATATATTTAGTCATTCATTCATTCATTTTCTTTTCGGCTTAGTCCCTTTCTTAATTTGGAACACAGCGGAATGAACCGCCAACTTATCCAGCATACTGTATTTTTTACGCAGCAATTGTCTTTCCAGGTGCAACCCACTACTGGGAAACATCCATACACACTCATTCGCATACATACAATACGGACAATTTAGCTTACCAAATCCCCTGTAGCACATGTCTTTGGACTGTGGGGGAAACCGTTTCCCCCACAGTCCAAAGACATGCCTTGTAGGTGAATTGGATGAACTAAATTGTATGTGCGCGTGTGTGGGTGTTTTCCAGTATTGGGATGCGGCTGAAAGGGAAAGCCGAAGGAAATGTGTTGAACACAAAAAGGAAACTCATAATTGTTTGTAGGGAGAGTGGTGAGTAAATATAATTTTTGGGTGAACAATCCCTTTATTGTTAGCCAGTTACTGTACATCACCTGTAGATCATTTCCTGTATTAATTTACTCCAATTAAAAGACCAAACAAAAGCAGTAAGCGCTCATTCACTAGTCTCCCAGCTAATATTAGCATTGTTCCTTAGCACTAACGTGTTGATCTCTAGAAATAGCACATTCTCATCACAGATGCCGTAGTAAAGCAAGTCTGTCGGTGTTGCGTTTCCTCCTGTCATCGCTGCTGTCACTAGCCGTGTGTCGCCATTTGAAATCTGCCTGTTTGTACGTCCTAAATTATCACTGCTTCGACGTTAGCATAGTTGGACGCCGCCAAACCCAGGCCTGCTGGACCAGCCAGTAACTTTCGCCACGTCTTGAGTGCCAGCATCCCGGAGTCATAAGTTATGCCCCACGTCTTCACTCCAGCGCTTGGAAAAGGTCCTCTAATAGTCTGTCTTCAAGCGCTAAGAGGAAGATGGATACTGTTACAGTCACAACTATTCATTTCCTTCAGCTGCTAGTAAAATCATACCTCTTCAAAGTGAGGAATGTTTACTGCCCAGACTCTTATTCTTATGAACATTTTAGATATTTGTACTTATGAAAAGCTTAAAAAATAAATATAAATCAATTTTGAGACCTTTTATGTTGCTTTTTTGACACATAAACGCTTCAAAAAGTGATTAGTCGACTTATAAAAGTGAGTAAAATATTGCTTTTAAAGGGATGAGTTGACTTTACTTGAATAAAGTGAGTAACCTTGTTAGGTTGTAAAATCATACCTCTTCAAAGTGAGGAATGTTTACTGCTCAGACTCTTATTTGTATCATATTTCAGACATTTGTACTTATGAAAAGCTTAAAAAATAAATATAAATCAATTTTGAGACCTTTTATGTTGCTTTTTTGACATAAACACTTCAAAAAGTGATTAGTCGACTTATAAAAGAAAGAAAAATATTGCTTTAAAAGGGATAAGCTGACTTGAAAAAAGTGAGTAACCTTGTTACCAGTAAATCATACCTCTTCAAAGTGAGGAATGTTTACTGCCCAGACTCTTATTCTTATAAACATTTAAGACATTTGTACTTATGAAAAGCTTAAAAAATAAACATAAAACATTTTTGAGACATTTTTTGTTGCTTTTTTGACACATAAATGCTTCAAAAAGTGAATATTTGACTTATAAAAGTAAGTAAAATATTGCTTTTAAAGCGATAAGCTGATTTGAATAAAGTGAGTAACCTTGTTAGCTGTAAAATCATACCTCTTTAATGTGAGGGATGTTTACTGCTCAGACTCTTATTCTTATAAACATTGAAGACATTTGTACTTATGAAAAGCTTAAAAAATAAATATAAATCAATTTTGAGACCTTTGATGTTGCTTTTTTGACACATAAATGCTTTAAAAAATGATTAGTCGACTTATAAAAGTGAGTAAAATATTGCTTTTAAAGGGATGAGTTGACTACTTGAAAAAAGTGAGTAACCTTGTTAGCTGTAAAATCATACCTCTTAATGTGAGGAATGTTTACTGCTCAGACTCTTATTTGTATCATATTTCAGACATTTGTACTTATGAAAAGCTTAAAAAATAAACATAAAACATTTTTGAGACCTTTTTTGTTGCTTTTTTGACACATAAATGCTTCAAAAAGTGAATATTTGACTTATAAAAGTAAGTAAAATATTGCTTTTAAAGCGATAAGCTGACTTGAATAAAGTGAGTAACCTTGTTAGCTGTAAAATCATACCTCTTTAATGTGAGGAATGTTTACTGCCCAGACTCTTATTCTTATAAACATTTAAGACATTTGTACTTATGAAAAGCTTAAAAAATAAATATAAATCAATTTTGAGACCTTTTATGTTGCTTTTTTGACACATAAATGCTTTAAAAAGTGATTAGTCGACTTATAAAAGAAAGAAAAATATTGCTTTTAAAGGGATGAGTTGACTTTACTTGAAAAAAGTGAGTAACCTTGTTAGCTGTAAAATCATACCTCTTTAATGTAAGGGATGTTTACTGCCCAGACTCTTATTCTTATAAACATTTCAGACATTTGTACTTATAAAAAGCTTAAGAAATAATTATAAAGCATTTTTGAGACCTGTTTTGTTGCTTTTTTGACATAAACACTTCAAAAAGTGATTAGTCGACTTAAAAGAAAGAAATATATTGCTTTTAAAGGGATGAGTTGACTTTACTTGAAAAAAAGTGAGTAACCTTGTAACCAGTAAATCATACCTCTTCAAAGTGAGGAATGGTTACTGCTCAGACTCTTGATATTTCAGACATTTGGACTCGCGAAAAGCTTAAAAACATTTTTGAGAATTTTTTTGACACGACACAAACAACAAAAAGCGATTAGCTGACTTATAAAAGTGAGTCGATCTATTGCTTTCACAACGGTGAGTTGTCTTTACTTGAATAAAAGTGAGTAAACCTGTTAGCTAGTAAAGCTACTAGACTGTAAAAAATCCTGGGTTCCACACATTTGTGTTGGGACAATATGAAGGAATAAAGTTAATTTGCAAATTTTTACAAATTGAAGTGGATCGAGCAAAAAACAATTAAATTGATACAATGAAATCAATAATCAGTAATAATAATACCTTACATTTATATAGCGCTTTTCTTTTACACATTTTTGGGCGAACCTCCTCATTCACCACCAGTGTGCAGCATCCACCTGGATGACATGATAATAGTCTTATTATGCCAGACCGCACACCACACGATTGGTGGAGAGAGTGATGAAACCATCGATGTTTTGAGGATGGTTAGGAGGCCATGATGGATAGAGGTCAGTGGGCAAATTAGGCCGGATGCCAGGGTTAAACCTCTACTTTTTTCGAAGGACATCCCGGGATTTTTAACAACCTCTGTTTAATGTCTAATCCGCCGAAAGACAGCGCTCATTGAGCAGGATAGAGTCAATAAAATGGCTCATAAGAACTCCCACAGACCGCCTGTTGAGCACCCCCTGCTGGCCTCACTAACATCACTTCCGGCAGCAACCTAGCTTTGTGGTCTCCCATTCAGGTACTGATCAGGTTTAGTTAGAGTGGGTGGCCATGTGAAAGTTGCAGAGAGCTAGCTGCCAGCCGAGGAATGTTTACTGCTCAGACTCTTATTCTAATAAACATGTCAGAAAATTTTACTAATTAAAAGCTTCAAAAATCAATATAAACCATTTTTAAGAACTGTTTTGACACATTAACGATGTAAAAAAGCAATTGGTTGACTTTACTTAAAAAAAAAAGCAAGTACACCTATTGCTTTAACAGCTATAATTTGACTTTACTTTAAAAATCTAGCAAACCTGTTGCCTTAGAAATGTTTAGTAAATCAAGTAAAAGTCAATTCTCACTTTTAAGGCAAGATTCACTCACATTTTTTAAGGGAAAGTTCACCCAAAAGTGAACAATCTGTCATCGTTTATTCACCCTTCACTTGTTCAAAACCTGTTTACGTTTTTTTTGAGCACAAAAGAAGATATTTTGAAGAAAGCTGGAAACCTGTAACTATTGACTTCCATAGTAAATTATTTGTTTTTCCTACCATGGAAGTCAATGGTTGCAGGTTTTCAGCTTTCTTTAAAATATCTTCTTTTGTGTTCAACAGAAGAAACTCAAACAGGTTGAAGGTGAATAAGTAGTGAGTAAAATGTAAATTTTTGGGTGAACTGTATTTTTAATGAGTTAACTTATCATTTAAAGAGCAAATTTTGATAAATATTTATTCTGCATATTGTAGATTGCCCTCTAATTTTGTTGTGTGTACAGTTTGTGTACAGCATATCGCAATCTGGTCTTAATGATTTTCAATGGCATCACATATGAACCCAGTTTTTAATGTTATTAGGTCTTTTTGAGATGTCTCCATTTGAATGAAGATGTCTAAAAACAATTGCGATATTCAGAAGCTCATTTGCTATTTTCTATGCAAGAAAGAAATGCCTTCATGAAAACAGAAAAGAGGTCACGCTAAGGTGAATTTTTTTCACAGCTCTATCTAAATCCATTGTCATCCTAATTATGTTTATAGTCTTAACATAAAGCGTTTAAATGTTAAATATTTCAGAATAAAAAGGTTTTTGTCACTGGTAAAATACCACGGCAGATTGCCTGGGCACCAGGAGCCAGTGCAAGAAAATGTCAACTTAATAATAAGTCGGCTTTTATAAGTGCAGATGTTTAAAACATTTCCGGAGACCCTTGTACTGTTAATAAAGGACAGACTGCAGCACCTCTAATTACAAACCAAGTCAAATAAGTCTCAAAATATGGTGGAAATAAATTGCTCTCTATAAGCCAAACACCCGTGGAGAGCTGTATAGTTCAGGAGGTTATAAAAACCAAAAAAATGCTCACTCATAATGTTGTGTTTTTTTCCCCAGATGTTCTGTGTCCCAATATGAAAGTCCAGGCGGGTCGTTTTAGACCGAACAGCACCAGTGCAGGACTGACGGAGGTCCCAGGTAATGATCGCATGTTTTTACAATAATAAGCTGGTGGACAAAAGTGTCAAGTAAGCACCTAAGGCAGGGGTGTCGAAACTACGGCCCGCGGGCCATCTGTATGAAGGTAATTCAGTAGCAATACTCGAGAGCTTGCAAATGTAAATGTGAGCACTTGTGATAAGAATATTTGTATGTGTAGGTTGAAATGTACACTTACAGCTCTGATGTGAACAGCTGAAATCCTCGATTTGCACACACACACAACAATCCACACACTTGTGTTTTGAATTGGAAGTTGCAGATTAATAGTTGTGTATTTGTAAAATGTCATTCACAAATACAAAGTGACAGACACACGTGTGCAAGGCAAATTTGATTGCATCTCCATTCTACAACCACAGGTCGGCACTCACAACCTCTCAGATTCGTCAGTACAACTACAAATCTCCCGCGCTCTGACTTTTGCTACACATCTCCCGCGATCTCTGTAGCAGAACTCATCTGTGCACTCGCAGATGCAGAGGCGTGAGCAGCGCGGGGCGGGGGAGGGGCGGGGCTGGTGTAAAGCTGTTTCATTGGCTGAAGCCTGACCAATGAACAATGCCAGCAGCCAACAGGACTGAGGTGCAAAATAATCATTTGCCACGATTATTTTATTATTTAGGGTTTATTTCAACTATTTTCTGAAAAGATTTTTGTTAAATATCATTAATTCTACTGTAATGTACATACCAGTAAAAGAGCAGCAAAGCCAGTTTATTGGCTACAGCGAGCCAATGAGATGGGGCGTTTCTGTTTGTCAGCACACAGGGCAGCTCACGTTGTTGGAGGCCTCGAGCAATCAGAGGGTAAGTTATGATTTTTTAATAATTATCTATATGTTCAATACTGTTAGCTAAGCTAAGGACTGTGCTGGGTGCTTCTCTTGTTTGTTTATTTATATAAGAAACAGTTATGAGTAATCTAGGAGCTGCTTTCAATCATGTTATATGGTTCTAAAGATACGATTCAACCCACATGAAATAAGTTGTAATAGTATTTATAGCAAATAATAGTACGTTTTTGAACCATACTAACTATAATAAACTGTATTATACTGTATATATTGCAGTATCTACAACTTTGTTAATGAATGCAACAGCACACTGTAGTATTAACTAGCATAAACTTTAATAAATTGAAGTATACTTATATGTATATATATATATATATATATATATATATATATATATATATATATAGCTTAAATTTGAAAAAAATTGAAATATAGCTATCTGTTTAAAACTAAACATTCTAATGCCAATTTTTATGCAAATATCAAGTTGAAACAAATCTGTTAAGAACACGCATTTATATGTAAAACCTAATACATTTTAAAGCAGTTTCATTTCTTTCTAATTTATACATCTACATGCATTACATCTGATTTAGGTCCACAGCTTGCATCCTTCAACATGATATGTGTGTTCAAAGGAAGAGCAACTAGGTGAGGGTAGACAGTGTCCATCGCTCAGCTGAGGGTCCACTTTGAGCATCTCATCTGCAGGGTTAAGCAACATAAGCTGAACAGTCATCATCTCTCTCTATTACAGCGAGCATCAACTAGCTTTACACAACGGCCTGCTTTCTGACCATTAATAAAGGCTTGAGCAAAGTATTAAAGAGGAGATAACATTTGATGGGTAATGATGAAGTTGGATTTACCACCTCCATCTCATTATGAACAAGGAAAAACCCTGAAATATTTCAATACAAGTAACTAGACATTTGCACTGCACTTATTTGGACTGTAAATTTTATTTGACAAATTACATTCCCTTACAGAACAGGTGTCAAACTCAGTTCCTGGAGGGCTGCAGCTTTGCAAAGTTTAGTTCTAACCCTAATTAAACACACCTGATCAAACTAATTGAGTCCTTCAGGTTTGTTTGAAACTTTCACTTAAGTGTGTTGAAGCAGGGTTGCAACTAAAAACGTGAAGGGTTACGGGCCTTCAGGAACTGAGTTTGACACCTCTGCTTTACAGTAAAGTGTAAAAATAATACATTAAACAATTATCAAAATAAAAGTTGTGTGTTGGTGAGTGTGTGTTTTGTTCAAATCTGTAGTCATCTTGGCAGGTAAAAAGAGAAAATTAAGTCGGCTTCCTCTTGAACGATCTGAATCATTTTGAAGTGTTTGTAGATGAGCTGGATCCTCATGTCATCTTTAGCATGAATAAAATCCTATTCAAGCTTTGCAGCTTCTCTGAGTTCCTCATCGACTTGAAACACGCTGATCTCTCCTGTCACTCCATCCTTACAGGAAACTGAGAAATAACCTATAGTTAGTAACGTTCATAATTAAAAAAGTGATATAAAGGACACACTGTACACAAACATGTAAATAGATAGATGGATAGATAGACATGATGCAGGTTATAATAACCAAAACCGGTATGATCTGTAAGAAACTGAAACGCCTAGTGTTATTTTTAATTGCTATTAATGTGTGTGTGTGTGTAAATATACTTCAATTTATTAAAGTTTATGCTAGTTAATACTACAGTGTGCTGTTGCATTCATTAACAAAGTTGTAGATACTGCAATATATACAGTATAATACAGTTTACTATAGTTAGTATGGTTCAAAAACGTACTATTATTTGCTATAAATACTATTACAACTTATTTCATGTGGGTTGAATCGTATCTTTAGAACCATATAACATGATTGAAAGCAGCTCCTAGATAACTCATAACTGTTTCTTATATAAATAAACAAACAAGAGAAGCACCCAGCACAGTCAGTGGCGTAGCGCAAAATGCGGAGGCCCCCCTGCAGGGATCACCGACGGGGCCCCCAGTTGAAGGCGGGGGGGTATGGGGGGGGGGATTGGGGGGGATATACACATATACACATAGATATAGATATACACATATATCTATGATCGGGAGTTTTCCTGGATGTTAGTATGCATTTTTTTATATGAAAATTTTTATTTGACATCACTTTTCTACATTGATGGATCACTTATCGCACGGGCATTCCTGACAAAAAGCTTGTGTTTGTGTGTATGAAAATGTACTATTCACTCTCCCTGTTAAATTTGATCTAATCATGTGCTGCTTTCACTTCTCATACTGACGGAGCCGACAATAATACAATTTTCTGGCAGCGCAGCATCTCTTTGTCATATTTCTTTTGCATTGTTTGCTGATTTATTCAACAAACCTAGCATAAACCGAGTGTTTAGTGCGAGTTGGTGCTACTTTGCCTTATGGTGAATGCAGTAAGTGACTATAGATATTATTATCAATAACGTGACCTGTTTAGCACAAATTTAAAAACATACAAAACAAAAAAAAACTTAATCCTATGAAATGTTCTGCCTTTGTGCTTTGTTTTCTTTGTTTGCTCGTTACTACACTCGTAGACAGCGCTTAAGTCCAGCATCTTCACGTAATAACACTGTCTTGACTAGTGCGGTTGAATGACATTTGTCCTGGGAGCACTGTAGCAATGTGGCGGCGCTATAGACGCATGCTCAGGGTCCCTATGCAATATCTAGTGAATATATCTATGTCACAAATTGAGGAGCGGGGAAAGGAGGCGGAGTGGCGTGACAACGCGGGGAATCCTTCACAAACTGAGGAGCGATCACAAACCGAAAGTGGCGAGAGCGTCAAAGTACCCAGAAGTCATTCATTTTTTAACGAGAACCGGCGGCGAGAAACAGCGGCGCGTCTTCATTGGCTATGACGCTGTTCGGCGGCAAGCAATCAGAATGAAGTAGTCCACCGCTTGAGCGGAGTTCAGAGAACACAGACCTGTAAACTTTGGTTCCGACCACAGTTGTTCCCAAGAGTTTGATTATTGCGATTCCTGGATTTTCAATTATTAAAAATCGCGACGACGTGGGGCCCCCTAATCACGCGGGGCCCCCCCGCGGTGCGTGCCCTGCGGGCCCGTCCGCTACGCCACTGAGCACAGTCCTTAGCTTAGCTAACAGTATTGAACATATAGATAATTATTAAGAAATCATAACTTACCCTCTGATTGCTCGAGGCCTCCAACAACGTGAGCTGCCCTGTGTGCTGACAAACAGAAACGCCCCATCTCATTGGCTGGCTGTAGCCAATAAACTGGCTTTGCTGCTCTTTTACTGGTATGTACATTACAGTAGAATTAATGATATTTAACAAAAATCTTTTCAGAAAATAGTTGAAATAAACCCTAAATAATAAAATAATCGTGGCAAATGATTATTTGGCACCTCAGTCCTGTTGGCTGCTGGCATTGTTCATTGGTCAGGCTTCAGCCAATGAAACAGCTTTACACCAGCCCCGCCCCTCCCCCGCCCCGCGCTGCTCACGCCTCTGCATCTGCGAGTGCACAGATGAGTTCTGCTACAGAGATCGCGGGAGATGTGTAGCAAAAGTCAGAGCGCGGGAGATTTGTAGTTGTACTGACGAATCTGAGAGGTTGTGAGTGCCGACCTGTGGTTGTAGAATGGAGATGCAATCAAATTTGCCTTGCACACGTGTGTCTGTCACTTTGTATTTGTGAATGACATTTTACAAATACACAACTATTAATCTGCAACTTCCAATTCAAAACACAAGTGTGTGGATTGTTGTGTGTGTGTGCAAATCGAGGATTTCAGCTGTTCACATCAGAGCTATAAGTGTACATTTCAACCTACACATACAAATATTCTTATCACAAGTGCTCACATTTACATTTGCAAGCTCTCGAGTATTGCTACTGAATTACTTTCATACATCTGCGGCCCACGATCAGTTTTGTGGCCGCCCGCGAGGCTTTTAATGAATAGTAATAGAATCTGGCCCGCTATACAAAAATGAACGTAATTCAATAAATAACCACCGGGTGTCGCTATTACATGCCTTCAATTAGGCAGCAGTTCCTGTTATGAAGTAAAACGAACCGAACAAGCTGAAAGAAACATAATTCATAATCACGTTTTGGCGAGCCATGGCACAAGCAAGAAAAAGGAAAATCAACAGTGAGTGCAG